AGGGGTGATGGATGATGACATGCTAAGACAAAATGTGTCGTGTGTTACACTAGTGGAAATTCAGGATTTTTTTATATATTTCCTTTTAGAATTAAGAACTTAAAACTTGTATATGATTTTATTCTATTCTAATTGGTATAACATAAACAAAAAGTAATTTAATAAAATTTTGAATGTAAGGCACTAAAACCTTGTGTCATGTGCAGTAAAGTATATACATGATAATAGGGTTAAAACCAAACATCTGTAGAAAGGTAGTTTTCAGGGTTAGATGTTCAGGTTACAAATGAAAGTGATGGTTAGCTATTCTAAAATATTAAAGTAACTGTGGTGAAGTTTCAAATGATGAAGTCTGAGGAATGTATTTGTTAGCATAGAATTAAATAAATTTGTACATGGCCCAAATATTTTTTGTGTGTGATACATATTGAACCAATATACATAACATTTTGCATTCCACTCCCATTGAATTTTCTAGTTGAGAGATCTGTGTTAATTTTTAATGAATACTTTTTGTATTTGTATATGTTTAGTTTATTACTTAAAAAACTTTTTGTTTTTGTGTATTGAAACAAAAAGGATAATTTCTGTTTTATTTCCAGCTGGATGACAAAGATAACAACACTCAAAAATTATATCAGACCACAACAGAAAAATTGGAAGGTAATGATTGAAAGTTACACACTACTTATTTTTAGTTAACTCAAATAATGTAAAATTTTCTGATATTCTAGAAAGATGTATGTTTGTATTTTAAACAACTTTCTAGAAAATGGGTTAATTCATTGTGTATGAATTTAGGTTTGGCTTGCAAATTAGTTTGAAGTTTGCATATCAAACCTGGAGTTTTCTGAATAATTGATGGAAACTAATTTTTGAGTGCATTTATTTTGTCTGTGAACTGAATGTATAGATAATCTAAAATGAATCTTTTTTTTTTCAGTGTTTATTTATTACCTTAACCTTGGATGTATACACTTATACAATAATACGATTACCTTGAGATTTGTATAATGCAGATGAATAACGCAGTTGTTTACAAGAGAAAAATGTTTTCCAGCTAAGATAAAATAAAAACCATTAAATTAGGATTTGAATTATTATTAATGATGTTCAAAGAGAGATAAAAACCAGGTTGTAACACAGTAGGAAAAATTAAACCATCATGATAACTAGTGTGTAAATGTTAAAGTTTAAACTATTGAATTTACTCAGACCTTAAAATGCTGTTGCTCAATTAAATGTTTTGACTTAACCCCTTTGCTGCAGGCAGGTTAGCACATGTCGTGACCTTTTGGTAATTTTAAAAGTTTTATTAATAATTGATGTTACTTATGTCAATGGAATTGACATCAAAACACAGTTTATAATTAAAATTTTTAATATTATATGTGTTTTAATTTCATAATTTAAAATAGAATGTAAAGAGAAAATGCTAAATATCAATTTTTGTTTGTCACATAACATCTATTGTTTTATTGCTCAGTTTATGTTTTATTATGCCTACCATACAACTTGTACAGTGAAAACATTAGAAACTTGAATTCAAACTATATACAAGCTGGAATATAAAATAAGAACCTCCCACCTCTAATGTGCTGAGATGTCAATATATTTATCCAACCTAGTTGTGGCTCCTCCATTCTTTTGAAACCTCTTGTCTAGTCCCACCTACTTCTTTAAACCAAGTGAAGGAGCAGTTTTCTGTGTATGTAAATCTGACAGTTGTTTGTAACTAGCATGAAGGAGGAAGTCATAATTTCACTGAAACTGTTGAAGTGTGATGATTAAGTTGTTGCTCTGAACAGATATGAAATTTTTAAGTCATATATAGCTTGTTTAGAAACCCAGATAAATTACAGGGGTTTTGTGTACACTAATATAGTAAGTTGATAATTAATTTGTTTTCTGAAATGTGTATTTGAATCCTACAAAAATTAATAACTCTTCACCCTCCACATGGAAGAATAAATGAGGCTTATGGCACAGCTTAGAATGTACAGTGCATGAGCACAAAATCTGATAACACTAAAGACTCGATCATTGTTTTTTGAAGTATTTTTTATTTATTCTTCTATGTTTTAATAAAAATAACTAAAATTTAAACATTTGCGAATAAGTAGTATTTATTGGTTGATGAATAAGTTTGCTGAAAGAGTTAAATGATTTTATAACTATGTGCCCAAATAAAATCTTTGTATGCCTGTACGGTATACCACTAAATTCCAAACATCCCAGAAGGATGACCAATACTCAAACACTTGTGATGTTTATTGGATTGACTCTGAACCATATAATAAACATTATCATAAATTCAAAGTGCAATCTTTCTCATTAAAACACTAGAGGATACATAACCTAATAAATTCCACATAAATTTCTTGGAGCTGGGGTAAAGTTGGCTAATTTCTATGCATGTGCTTTGTTGCTCTCGAGAGTATCATATTACAATGTCCTGTAAACAGTCTAATGGTGCAAGTGGTGATTTGTTGCTTTATTTTCAGCAGATTTCTACTTCAGTTGTTGACAGTAAAATATATACAGAAAATCAGTGTGAAATGTTTAGCAGTTCAAACTCTCAAGAAAAGTACTTTGAAACTTTGTGACCAATAATAAGAAAAAGTGCACAGTTGCTCATTTTATCTCTGAATTAACAAATTTTCATTGTACTTAATGATTTGTCTACTGGCTGAAGAATCAAATATATTGTTAGGGTAGAGGTACTAACAGATAAAATATAAAGTTTTATATTTATTAAGAGGTTTGGAGGCTGTTATATTTATTGATGTTAAAATGCTAGGATATAATGAATGAGAATCTCATGAACATAAAATCACTAACAACTTCATTTTTTCTATTTTTAGCTACACCCACTGGCACAAATAATTCTGAACAGTACAGTTACCATTTACTTGAGGTGTCTAAGGTCTCCAAACAGCTTGAAGATGGGTCTACTTCTGAAGAAGTGGTGAATTTACCTAAGCCTTTCACATGCACAAATCAGGTGGGAGAGGTAGCCTTGGGCACTTTAGAAGGTTACAGTACAAGTAGTGAACCAAACACTGACATTTCAGACACACCCAATAGCAGATCAGATTCTAAACATTGTAATTCTCATCTGCCAGAAATATGCAAGAACTCAGAACAGCTACAAGATAATGCAATTTCAAAAGAACAAGTAATTCTACCTTCAATTTCCAGATGCTCAACACAAGAAGAAAATACAGTAACTGAAGTTTGTCGAGAAGGTCAAAGTACAAATAGTGAATTCATAGTTGATGTTTTAGACAAAGTGAGTGTAAATACAGGTCTTAAAAAGTTTAATTCTTATATGCAAGAAATGTGTAAAATCTCAAAACAGCTACAAAATCATAAAAGTTCTGTAAAACTGGTAAATATGCCTTCAACTTCCAAGTGCATGACACAAGAAGAAGAGATGTCTGACATTTCTGGAAATGATTGTAGTGCAAACAGTGAATCCAGAGTTGACATCTTGAACACATTGAATTGCAGGACAGATCTTAAAAACTGTAATTCTCATCTGCTTGAAATGTTTGAGAATTCCATACAGCCTGAAGGTGAGGTTTGTACTGAAGAACAGGTAGAAAGAACAACAGAAGAAGATGGTATTGAATATCTTCCAACTAGTGAATCCATAAGTAACTTAAATTTACCTTTAGCTTGTGGATATATGACAAAGGAAGATGAGGTGACAGCAGATGTTTCTGTACTAGATCTTATGGAAAGCATTGAATCAAAATCAAATGTTTCAGAGTCTCAGAAGAATGATCTAACTACTATAAGTGTAGAAAAATATAAGAAGGTGTCATTACCTTTTATGTCAAGTGTAGTAGAAGAGCTTGAGAAGAGGCAAGTTGCTTCTAATTCTGCTTCTGGAGTTAGTTCAAGTGTATTCAGTACACCTAACTCAGATAATGGCTTAATTATAGAAAATAGCATTGACACTAAGAATAATGATTCAGTCAACAAAAACAGAGTATACACTGAAAGTGAAAAACTTAATGTAACACTCAATGTACTAATTAATCATATTGTTTCCAAGTGCATGGCTGATAAAAAATCTGAAAGTGTTGGACCTGAAACAGATCAGAGAGATGGTACTTGTTTATATGAAGATGAAGATCCTGATGTTTTCCTGAATAAAGGTATTGAATGTAATGGATGTGACAGTGTAAAGAATTCTAAAAAAAGTGCCAAAGCTACCACACCTAATGACTTTTATATTATAAGTAAAGAACCTGTTAAACATGAAATTAAAGAACAGAAACTCAGTGGTGGAAATGAAGGGAATGCTCTTCCTGTTGACTTGAGATGTAATATAAATGATGAGAAATGTAATATTGAAAGCATTCATATTGATAATACCTCCTTTGTTAAAAATCATGATTGTGTGAAGAAAGTTGATGTTGATGAAGAAAGTAACTTTGACAGTTTTAATTCTTATAATCAAAGATCAACTACTAACTCCATCAGCAAAAGATACAAAATATTCAGTGGTAATACTAGTGTAGATAATTTAACTAGCCTTTTCAGTTGTGGGAAAGAATCCGTGGAGAAAAATGTTAGTAGAGAAATTAAGAAAGAAGAAAGAACTGTACTAAGGGGAACTAGAACTAATTTTGATAATCTCGAGGATATATCAACTAAAAATGTGAGAAGTATTCAGAATCAAATTTCTCAAGCCTCACATTGTGAACCAGACTTAAGTTATCAGACTCTAGGTGAAGTTTCGACCAATGAGAATTTGACATTTGAAGGATTTGGAAGTAGTGAGGATGATTGCATCAAAGAAAAAATACTTTTTGATGACCCTATAAATAGGAGTGTGTCAGATGAATTGGATGTTGAAAACGTTTCCCAAAACAATTATTCTAACTGCATGGGTGGTGAATTGACAAACAAATACAATGAAAAAAATAAAGCCAATGAGTTTGCAGATTCATCTGGGTTAAAATCAGAGATAAAAGAAAATAGTTCAAGTGGTTTTGATCTTCCACCTGATTCTTCTCATGTGGGAGAAGATGAAAGCAATGATCAAATACTGTCTTCTTTTGTGGAAGAAGATGAAAGCAGTGATCGGTTTCTGTCTTCTAATGTGGGAGAAGATGAAAGCAATGATCAAATTATGTTTTCCCATGTGGAAGAAGATGAAAGCAGTGATCTACTACTGTGTTCTCATGTGGGAGAAGATGAAAGCAACGATCAACTACTGTCTTCTCATGTGGGAGTAGATGAAAGCAATGATCAAATACTGTCTTCTCATGTGGGGGAAGATGGAAGCAATGATCAACTACTGTCTTCTCATGTGGGAGTAGATGAAAGCAATGATCAAATACTGTCTAAAAAAATTAAAGAAGCTGACATGAATGAGGGTGAAGAAACTTTCAGTAGTACGTACATTATTGAGGAAAGTCAGCCTTTAGAAACTTATGAAGTGGTTCAGAAGAGTTCTTACTCAAAAAACAGACAGGTATGTGACCAGAAGAAGGGAGAGAATAATCATAAAGTGTTACAAGAAGGCAGGACATTTTTGAGAGACAACAAAAATTATCAGAAAAACTTGGAAGAGAAAGAACACTGTCAAGACATCTCTCATGAAAAAATATCTTCTGAAAATGTCCAGAAGATAGTGCTGAAGCCTGTATCTGTTGTGATAAGTAGATTACTCAGCCTGGAAAATTATGTAAAGAACAATTTGAAAAGTAATCAAGAGTTTAAACAAAACAGTCAAAATGAAGGGATCAGAATCAGTGAAAAAGTTAGTTTGGTTGATAAACTACACATGGGAAATGAAGCTACGATTGTGAAAGATTTAACATATGCTTGTACTTTATGTATTTTCACTACAACTGATGAGAATGTTTTTGCACACCATATAAAAGAGCATCCTATCAATGTGCTTACATCATGGTGCAAGAAGTGTCAGCGGGTTTTCTCAAATGTTGGAAAGTTAGTTCACCACATCCAGACAAGCTGTACAGGTTCGTTTGATGCATGCATTAAATGTGGTGTGGCTTCATGCAACTTTGAAACAAAAAGTCCCCTACAGTTCTATCACCATAACAGATTTAAACACAGGGGATGCCTCAGATTGAACTGTAATACGTGTGACAGGTTTTTCTCAATGCCACATTGTTTGACACTACATGTACAAGATGAATGCTTAAAGTTAGAAAACATATGCAAACAACCTGAAGAAGAAACAAAAGATCCGGAAATATCAAGTCATCAAAGAAAAGGACAAGACTTAACATGTAGGGTAATAAGCATGTTTGAAGATAATTCAGATGATCCTGAGTGTATTTCAAGCCAGATGTTGAACTCTGATACCACTAACCAGAAAAGCTTACAAAACTCTTCTGATTCAAGTTACCAGGCAAATTGTTTTGATGGTCAAAAATTGGGAAAACTGACAATTTTGAAAACTTTATCACCTGATAAAGAATCAGCATTTACTGCAGGAGGGGAATGTCAAGCGAAGAATACAGTTGAAGTACAAAACTATACAACTGGGACGAACAACAAGCCTGCAAAACAAGCTATTTGCAAAAAAAGTGAAAATCTTGATGACCAGATAAAGAATGCACCAGTTGTCGAGGTCAGTTTTTCAGAATGTTATAAAAATGTTTCCACATCAGAAGATAAAAATACAGATGAATCGAAGAAGTTAATCAATGATGAGCACATTAATTCAGAAGCCAAGAAGTGTAAAGAGCAAACTGAATATTGCAAAGAACAGTCATCTAAGCACAAGAAAGACAGTTCTGAATCTAGCCAAGATGACTCCAGTAAAATAAAAACTAAAATACCTGCACACACCACACATGATGAAAAAGATCAGAACTTTCCTTTACTGCTGACATGTGTAAGAACAGAGAGGTTTTCAAAAGATCATGACTGTAGTGATGTAATGACAGATGTACTCACTTTTTCGAAAAAGATGAAAGATAGAAAGTCCCCTGAATGTGACCACCCAGTTCTGGATATGCAGGTTGAAGTGGGTAAAGAGCCCACAGTTTCAAAAAACTCCTCTAGCACAATACAAGATTGTCCAAAGTTTTCAAAATCCAAAGAATTAAGTCTAGCATTAGATGTTGAAGAAGAAAATTTTGAATACTCCTCTTTTAGAGATTTTCAGTATGAAGCTAATCTCTTTTCTTCTGCTTTGAATGAAAAAATAACTTTGAACAGAGAAAAGCTTAAAGTTACTATAAACCATGATGAATTCACAGAACATGATCAACCAGCTTTCATTTTTGTGGATGACAAACAATATGAAAATAAAACTAATTCAAAGCCAGTAGAACTCACAGAAGGATTTAGCTGTATATCAACAAATAATGCAATAAGAAATGCATCTGAAAATTTGGAGGAAAGTAGGATTGATCATTATAAGCACCTGGGAGAAGATGTTGAAGAATATGAAGAAAAATCTGCAATGGAAGCATGTGTATGTGATGAAAAAACTTGTGTTAATGCTCTTTCAGGGGTTGCAGACAACACCTCTCTTGTTCCTCCAAAATCTCATCAGAAAACTTGTGTTAAGGTAACAGAAGTAATGAAAAATAAAAGCTTGCAACTTGACATGTGTAAAATGTTAGAAACTGGAAGTGTAACATTACCATGTCCAACAGCATCAGGTATTTACAAGAAAAGTCTAGACAAAAACAATATATTGTCAACAGTTTCCTTGTCAAGTGATAATAAACTTAAAGAGATTGAAGGGTCCTTTAGTGCTAACTTGTCTTCCAAACATGACTTTAATTGCCAAGAACTCAAAGCTTTTTCAGCAAAAGATTCAATCCAGATGTTGGAGAAATTAGAATTGAATACTGAAGACATGGATCAGCAGCAGGAAGAGAATGTAAACTGTAATATTGGTTTAACCAGCTTGGAGTCCACTTATTCAGCAATAAAGAGGGAATTTCCAACCCTACTTTCTTCGGTTTCAGGCAATACTACAACTTTATGGCAAACAGATAAAACACTTCCTACTGCTGTACCAGATAACAACTCATCTTCAGTGTTACCCCATCGTTCTCATTCTGGAAAATCTGTGCTTTACAATAAACCACACCAGATTAATGAAAGTGATTTGGATATTCCTCAGCAAAGTGAACTAGGAAATGTTTCACCTATCAAAATGTTAACTACATTACCTGCACCTGAAACACTTATTACAAAAAGGATTAATGAAAAACACAAGCAGTGGACAAAATTTATTGATTTGCTTAAATCAGCAAGTTTAATTCATAAGCTTCTTGAAGATGAACATATTATTAAGTTTTTCAAATGCACCAATCAAAACTGTGCTTTTACAACTGATAACCCAACCGAATATGAAGAGCATTTAAAAAATCATGAAGACAAAACTTTGCCATGTCCATATTGCTTCATTTTTTATAACCTAGCTGTGCTTGCTGAACACATGCTTAAAAAACATTGGAAACTTCGCTATCAGTGTGGTTACTGTTGGTATCGTGGCTGGGGAAAAATGCATGTGAGAATACACACTAAATGTGCTCATGTAGAAAAGCCACTGAAGATATTAGTTGGCATTGAACTGAAGGGAGAAGAACCAGATGAGGACGTACCAGACTACTTGGAGGTTACTAAGTCTTATTACTGCAATGTTGGAACTTGTATGTTTTCCACATTTGATCCATCTGTGTTTAAGGAGCACTACGATACGACACACAAAACAGTTTCTGTCTTCCCTTGTTACTATTGTAAAACAGAGGTGTTGTCATTTGAAAGGTTGTTGAAACACTTAAAGTTTCATGGATTAAACAGTTTTCAATGTGCTTTTTGTCTACATGGTACAGAAACTCAAGCAGAAGTTGTTGAACATATGACTGCTGTTCACCCTGACAAGCCTCTTCAGCTTTATGTGAGAGGTTCCCATGGTTTGTCAAAAACAGATACTCCTAGTCTTCCAATGTCCACTGATCCTTCCAAGCCAATAACTTTGCCTGTGCAATTAGGTAACCAGTCTCATCAAAGTGGTTCATTTGAAACCTCTAAACTGGAAAGTGTAATCAACTTCCAACTTCCTTTGTCTCCAAATAGAAAGAAAGATATTTCCAAATCTGATATTGTACTTTATGATCCCTTATTGCAAAGAGAAACGGGGAATAATGAATCTGTTAAACCTACAACAGTTAAGGGTGAATTGAACAGAAATAACATAGAAATAACACATAAGGAACTCATCCCTGTCTTGTCCAAAGTTTCATTGGAGAAAACAGAACGTGTGAAACTGGCTCCAGAGGAGCAGAGTGTTAAAAATGACAATGTTGAAGCAACACCATGTTTTTCCTCTATGAATTATATAAATATATTAGATAACTTAGAATATTCCACTGATTTATCAAGAAATATTAAAAAGGACAACAGAAAAATCTCTGATCCAAACATATCAGATACGAGTCTTCAGAAACTTGTGGTTTGCAAAGTAGAAAAACTCTGTGAAGACCAGGAGTCTCAGTTCTTTGAAAGTAAAGCAAAAAATATGGATATGATGCATGAAAATAAGAACTTTTGTAGAAATGAACCAAGAACAAGTCAGAAAACTTCAGCAAAGAAAACTGTATGCATATCAGAATTAGGAGAAATTGCACCTGAACTTGTAGTCCAAGAAATTTCAAACGATTTTAAAACACACTCATCTCCACTTCAATCATTGAATAATTCTTTCAATTGTTTAGAAACTCAAGTAGACTTTGTTAATACTGAAAAAAGTGAAGTAACTCAGGAAGATGTTGAAGTGTTGGTTTCATACGTCACAGAGAGATCAAGTGAAAATGAGAAAGCTGAAGTTTGCGAGAACAAATTATCAGATAATAAAGTTCAAAAAGAAGATCTACAGATTAATTCAGACTTAAGCTTAAACAAATCTTATTCTTCTTTTATAGAACAGAAGTTTGAATGTGTTGATGTTTCTTCAGCTACAAACATCGAAGTTTCAGAAACAGATGATCCATTTGAAGAATCTATCACTAGTGAATGTCCTATTCCTGATAAATCTGCTCAGAATACTAACATCAGTTGTGTCAGTACAAAAGATAAAGTATCTAAGTATAAACATCTCTCTGACAAGACACCTAATGAAATTGATGAAGCAAGAATTAATAGAGAAGGACCAAACTTGGAAAAAGAAATGAAATGTACTTATAGATGTAGATTATGCTCAGTTGAAATGGTTACACACAGGCATATATTACAACATCTCAAAAACATCCACTGTGTACAACTTCATAAATGTGGATATTGTGATCAAACTAGCAAAAGTACCAAGACATTGATTCAACACTCTGAAAAATATCATCATGAAAGAACACCAAAAATTGTTCTAATGTATGAAAAGATAATTATGTCTCAAAAAGAGAGTGTAGACTTACTTGCAGAAGTGAAATCTTCCACCTCTTTTAGAGAGAATAAGATGGAAGAAACAGTACAAAATGATGGAAAAAAGAAGGAAGAATCTTTTAAAGTTAAGACAAAGATGGGAAAAATTAGTGATTTACAGCTAATTAATGGACCAGTGGATAACACAAATTCATTTTTGGAGTGTGAATTGAAGAATTCTCTAAGTACAACTGATCAACAGCTTGACAGGAAACTAAATAAAGTGGAGCACCAAGCAGTTTTTCCTAAGCAACAGAAGTCTGAAACTGAAGGTTATGTGTCTTTAAACAATCTGTTGGACAGCAGAAGAGAAAATAATAGTTTGTTTGGTGACACTGAGCTACACGAGTTGGTAAGAGAAAGCAAACAATCATACAATACAAAGGTCTGTGAAAATCCACATGAATTTTCATCTAACGGTAATTTTCAAGAGGTATCTCAAAATCAATTTGTACTTTCTATGAATGAGGGTAATACAACGAATAGAGATAATGGAAATAGTGTTGCTGGTGTAGCTACATCATCATGTAATATTAAGAGCCACAATCCTGCAGTCCTCACACAAAAATTTAATGCTTGTAAAGAAAGATCAAAAGATAAGTCATTTTTGTTCATTTGTCCTTTTTGTGGTTATGCTAAGGCTTCCTACTGTGCCTTGAAACTTCACCTGTTTAGAGAACTAAAGTACCACAGGTTGTTATGCATAGTCTGTAATATATCATGCTTTGGCACGAAAGAAATGAAAACTCATTTTCAAAGACACCATCCTGGTGAAGAGTTTTATTATGAACGGAAGTTTGATCGTAATATTGAAGAGTTGGTTGAAAAGTTTTTAAGAAGTCAAGAAATATTAACAGAAAAAGATAAAATGCTGCTTTTAAACAATACACAGACATCAAAAGCAACAAAAAAACGTTCTAAAACATCTTTGTTTGATAAGAAATGCAAATTGTTACATATGTGTGAAAAGGCAGCAGCATTGTCAAAGGAACGTTCACTTACCTGTTTTAAAGATGATCTGGAGGTACTAAATCGGGAAAAAAAAATGGAAAAATCCATTAATGCTAAAATCAAGAAGAACACAAAAGATGATAAAGCAAAAGAGTCAATCATTAATAATGATCATAAAAGAACAATAGAAGAAGACACAAATCCCCTTTTAAGTGAAGAACTAAAAGAATTGGGAAATAAAGCTATTAAATTTTGTCACAAAGAGATAAAATCTAAAAGTGAAAATTTTGGTTTATCTTTGTCTTGTCCAAAAAATGAGAAAACTGAAGTTCAGGATGAGTCTGTAAAGAGCAAATTGGATACTACAGAGGAGAACAGCGAGGTTTCTAATACTTTGTTAGCTGATTTTGAAAATGATAGTATCACTTCAAAGAAGCAGGGTAAAGATGCAGATTATGAAGATCAGAGCATTGCCATTGCAAATAACACATCTTTGCTGTCAAACTCTGATAAAGAAAAATCAAAAAAGGAGCCTGTTTTATTCACTTGTCCTTTCTGTGATTATACTAAAGCCTCTTACTGTGAACAGAAACTTCATATTTTTAGAGAACTCAAGTATCATAGACTGTTGTGCATAATCTGTAATGTATCATGTTTTGGCAAGAGAGAGATGAAAGCTCATTTTCGAAGATACCACCCTGGTGAGGAGCTTTATTATGAACGAAAGTATGATCATAATATTGAAGAATTGGTTGAAAGATTTCTAAGAAACCAAGAGAAGTTAACAGCAAAAAATAAAATGCTGCTTTTAAATCATGAACAGACACCAAGAGCAACAAAACAACGCTCTGGAATTTCAATCTTTGAGAAGAAGTGTAAATTGTTATTCATATGTGAAAATGCTATTACAACATCAAATGAAAGTCCACCTATATATTTCACAGATAATCAGAAGGACATGGCAAAGCAAGAAAGAAAAGGAGAAATATTCATTACTGAAGTTAAAATGAAAAAAAATGCAACCAATGAATCAATACTTTCTGTGACTGAAGACATTAATAATGATCAGAAAGGAACATTCAAAGAAAGCACACATCTGTTTTCAAAAGAAACATTAAAGAAATTAGGAAGTAAACCTTGTCTCAATGAAACAATAAAATATAAAAATCAGGAGGTTCACTTCTCTACATCTTCTGTTAAAAATAAAAAAATTGGAATCCAGAATTCACCTCCAAAGATTGAAGTGAGCAGTGCAAAGGAGAAAAGTAATCAGTGTGCTAATAGTTCGGGTAGTACATTTCCCATGCTTTCAAGTATTGGTAAAGAAAAATCTAAAGTAGGGCCTGTTTTGTTCTCTTGTCCGTTCTGTGATTGTACTCGTTCTTCTTATCATGCTCAGAAGCTACACATGTATCGAGAATTAAAGTACCGCAGATTTTTGTGCTTATTATGTAGTACAAAATTCTTTAATATAAAAGAGCTTAAAGCTCATTTTCAGAAATGCCATTTTGGTGAAAAACTTTCTTATGAACAAAAATGTGATGCTGAAACTGAGGAGTGGGTTGACCATTTATTAAAAAAACAGAAAAAACTAACAGTAAAAGAAAGCAAGTACCTGTCCCTGCAACCTAATCACTCCTTGAATTCACAAGCCACAAAAAAACAGTATAAATATACTTGCCTTTTCTGTGGTGCTAAAAAATGTAACACGGGTAATTTCAAGAAACATTTGTTTAATCATAAACAGTATCGTCCTGTTAAATGTTTTCACTGCAATAAAAAATTCAGATACACATGTGAAGTTAAACAGCATTTGGAGAAACATCATCCTGGTCTTGCATCATACAGTACAGTAACAAAGAGTGACAGCATTGAAGATTGGGTGAATGAAATTATAAGTAGTCAGCAGCTTTCTAATCATAATGAAAAAGAGCAGGAAGTGCATCTTGAGAAAGCAAATGTGAAAGATGGCATGTCTGGGGTAAAAGCGAAAAAACACATCAGTGATGGAGCTTTCACTTGTCATTGGCAAAACTGCAATTTTGTTGCTGTTGATAAAAAAAAATTGAAATACCACCTGATGATCCACTTCTCTAGAACCAATTTTTCGTGTCCCTATTGTCAAACATTGTGTGATTCAGAAGCCAAGTTAAAAAGTCACTGTGAACTCAGTCACTCTGAGAAATCATTACCCTCAACTTCTGTAAGAAATGAAAAATCTGTTAGTTATGACATGAAAAAAAATCAACTTGGAAATAATTCAAACAAAATTACCTGCTCTTATTGTGGTCTTGTGATTTATTCAGACCAAGAACTTAAACTTCATATTCAATGGGAACATCAGAATGAATCAAAAGAGGATGCTATAGAAGAAAGTGGTGATAATGCTAGTGCTTCTCAGCCTCAAGATAAGCTTTTAGAGTGTGAGCAGTGTGGCATTAAGTTTGTTAAACATCATGAGATATTAGAGCATCTCAAATCACATGAGGAGAAAGTATTAAAATCTCCAGACTCTTCTCCCCTTGTAAACTTCCCTTTATATAATAAGGACCAGAATTCAAGACTCATAACAACCATGGGAAGTGAAAATGAATCTAATCCTCCAAGTCTAAATGTGTCTCATGAGGTTCCCTATAAAATTCCCGGAATGAACAATGGTGAATTAAATCTCATATCAGATGAGCTGTCTTCCAAAGAAACTACATCCAGAAATGTCACGAGGTGTGCATATTGTAGGAAGAATGTACCTTCTGATACTATTAAGCAACACTGCCGAAAACAGCATCCAACTCTGCCTGTTAAGATAATTAAACATCGTCCCAAGACACCTCTTGAATCACCCAAATTTTATGGAGATTCATGTGAGAAAAGAAATCCTGTAAACATCAAAGAAGACTTGTTATTAAAGTTTATGGAACACAAATCTGTCGAAAAGTTTTTTTTGTCTGAAAAAGAACCATACAGATGTGAGTATTGCCCAGCTCATTTTAATTGTGTTACACATTTACAGAAGCATTGGCAGGAAGAGCACCAAGTGAAGTTGAAGAGTCTAGCATTTGATACTGAAGTGCATGATACAAAACAGGAAAAAAGTAACATTTGCAATGCAGTTGAGCAGCTTCCACAACAGTTGCACTCAAAGATTTCAGCAAGAAAGTCATTTGTACAACATTGTGCTTCCCAACTGAACAATTTTTCCGAAACATTTCCTGAATCTAATGAGACTTCTTATCCTCACATAACTGAACCCACACCCAGTGCAAAGAGGCAGCTTTCACAGGAAAATGCTAATACTTCCTATGACAGTTTATCACAAGGTGAATTTTCCTTTTATGGTAAAAAACAGAAAATGGATACATCAAACATTAAAGTACATATTCCGTCATTAGGAGCCAAAATCCCTTACCAGTCAGTGTCACACTTGTGCAACTTACAACCTTGTGTTTTACTGACAGACTTGAAATCACAACTTTTCACCTTGGGATTGTTTTAAAATTATGTTCTACAATTGTGTTTGTGATGATGATTCTATAGCTTTCGTGTTAGTGGTGGTGTACATATTTTACTACTGTATGGTTTTTACATGAAAGTTACCAATTTTTTACTTTACTCAATTCAACCAAAGGACTAAGTACCATTTTATTATGTTAAAAAATTACATTTCTGCCAAGTGTCTGGGTGTAAATCTTTAATTAATAATGTGTATTCAACCTTCAAATATACTAGTGCCCTTTTTTTAATATTAGGACTTTTTTTATTTATATTGTCGTGGTCAGTTTTAAAACTTCAAATTGTTTTAATGTTTGTACTTTTGTCAGCAAAAAGTGTTGCAATTAATGTGGTGCATCTCAGTGTAAATAGCTTTTTGCATTGTTTTAGTATGTTGACTAATATAAAGCTAATTTTTTTTAAATAATTGTAATTTATCATTGAGAATTTGTGACAAGCTGGTACTTACTAACATTTGCCAGTAATATACATAGTTTATTAGTGTAAGCTTTAATCCAATTGTATACATGATTAGTGGATTGATGAAAGTTGTAGCCAGTAAGTACTCGTGGTAATTTTAAAATATTTTTTATCAAAATAGCTAAATAGTGAGTAGTAGTGTAAAAACAAAATTAAAAATACTTTAATTCTCCTAGGTAAACATGTTGCATTTTTTAGTTGATTTTTATCCCTACATACATTATCTAATAAAATGTTTTTGTTCTAAATATAGAATGACTTGGTTTATACTTATAATCACAGTAATTTAAGTGATGAAAATTAAACATAGTTAGGAATTTGTTGTAAGTTTTAGCCAATAATATCCATGATTATTTAATTAATGAAAGCTTCAAAAGACCACTACTGGTGAATTAAAAGCAAAGACTAGAATAAGTTTTCTCAAAAGAAATATATGTTTCTTGTTAATTGTTGGCTTTCCATTATTGACCTGAGAGAAGTATGAAAATATAGAACTATGACATTACAGCTTCCAATCAGTTATAATAATGAAAGTATGGTGATGTTTTGTGATGACTTATTTTTCTTTCTCAAGTATTCAACATTAAGCATAGCTACAAAATGATGCATTGGCTGTGAACTGAATGAAATAAAAAGTACATCACTTAGAAAAATGGGTGATGGCTGATTTCTAAAAACAGCATATCGGTACCCATTATGTATATATTCAGTTTCTTAAATGTTTGCCATTGTCATCAAAACATCAGTTGTTGTACCTTCCTAAAATAAAATCAACATTCACCTAAGTGGTGTGATAATGCTGAAATGAAGTTGAGTATCCTTGTTGCACATCAACTCAAAAATTCCATTGTTTAGTGAAATAAACAAAACAGTACAAAATTCCTCAAGGTGTTTTGGGGCTTTTACTTAGAGCATGTGCCCACAATTATAGGGAAGATAATTACAGAGGAACCTAATCAGGACATACCTGTGATACACATTTATACACTACATGTTAAGTAACCAAGAGATTCAACAGTTTTTGGATAGCCTTTTAAGCAACTGATTATTGTAGTTTTAAGTAATTTCTTTAAAAAAATTTTAAGACTGTAGAAATCATATTTTTTAAGACTCATTTGTTATTCACCCACGTTACTTAATGTATAATTTAAGTATTTTAAGATGCAGTCTCCAATAAATTTCATTCAACATGTGGCTAGTTGGTATGGTGAGATGTTTTATGGTGAAAGTAAAATGTAGTTTAGCATTTAAAGATGTCTTATACTGTGATGTGGTAGTCAGCTTTGTCTTTAAGCAAAACCTTTTTTTTTATCTTAAATCATTCATATTCTGTTATAATTTTGAACTATATTTATATTCATGTCAGCTGTGGATACATGTATTATAAAATATTTGTTTGTATCCATCATAAGTAGTTTCCATGATGGCTCACTTGTTTTTAATAGAGGTCACAAAACCTGAATCTAATTTAAAAACATAATGACAAAATGTGTTATGCTTTTCATTTTGTTAAATTTCTAGGTAAGTATTAAATGTTGTTGGTAATTTATTTTGTAGAAGTCTAGATGTTTTGTCTCTTACTTTGTCGGTAAACTTTTGTATAATGATAATAAAGATCTGCTCATGAAAAAACATGAAGAATTGTCTTTAAAAGGTGTTTTTCTTAGAAGCATGTTTTCAAACTGAATTAACAGAAGAAAATGAAAAAATTAAGAAAATATACATTTGATTCTGAAGATAATTTTTACTGTTTCATTTCTTATATGAAGTTCTGATTTTGTTGAATTTAAGGGGTGAAAATGCAATGAATATCAAGAAATACACTAGGAATAATGGTAACACACAACTAAAAGCTTTTTACTTAACTGTAAGTGTTAATTTTATCCATAATGACTGCAATAAGCATGTGACTAGTCATTACCATTTAAAGACACTGCTTGTTGACATTCTTGCTCATTATGCAGCAGTACCACCATGGACAGAACAAGTATTATCTCCAGAGAATAACAGGGACACCTATTATGAAATGAACTTAATGACTTTGGGGCCCATGTGTTCTGCAAAAAATTACATGGTATGCCTACATAACACACTGGTAATTGCAGTACAAAGTTAGTGATCTACAAGTTTAGCTAGAGACCCAGTAAAAAATACTTATTTCATATTGATTAGCTTTTGGAATGTTTGAATTTTAAAAGAAGATTTTAAAACAATTATTAAAGCTAAGGATGATAAAATTCAGAGTAACTGTTTCAGTGAAGGTTATAAATGAGAATAAGGCAACAATATACAGGGCGTGTCCAAATTGATTTTGACCACCCAAGTTTTGCAGTGTATTTTACTCTGGAATATCGGGTTCTAGCCCGATATTCCAAAGGACCAGTGATGTAAAAGCAATTACACATGTAGGCTTAATGTTCATTCAGTTTGTTATATTACATAATCAGTAGTATGGGTATAATGTAATAGTAGGGACACAAGTCAGTAACATTTTGAGGTAAATTTGTTACCTGTAATTAAAGATTTATAAATTCTCATATTATTATTATAGAAACAGGATGAAAAAGTTGAATAAGGATAAGAAGAATATGGCAAACTTCAGTACTAGTGGCAGAAAGCTTTTGGTACCACTTGAATACTGTCACACTTTCAATACAGATTACATTAGTAGAGGTATTGCACTTAATTTAATAGTGTACCCATTCACACTGAAATTGAAAATAAAGTACTTGCAAATGATGACATTTGTACAGATAATGTTTCACCTGCCATTTGGAAAACTTTAGCATTAACATCCTAATAACCACAGAATTAATAAAAGGGTCTAGGACCCTATTGGCTTTTTTTAAACATTTTTCTAAACTATTTATGCACCAATTTGCTTGTGAGTCTTAAGTTTTCTTCTGATTATAGGGTCATAAGTTTCATATGAGTTACATAAAAAAAACAAACATAAATGCCATCAGTATTGCAGTTAATCACACTGATTGCTGCTGGGTGTCCCCTTATGTATTTTGTGTAGAAAATGGGTAAATTTCACCCAATCTTTTGGTCAGTTCTTTACACTTACTGTTGTTACAGAATATAAAACTACTCGGTATGATGTGCAATGTTTGGATCCCATCAGTACTGAACTTTACAAAACTAATTCTGTAATTTGATATTAAGTTGAAAAAGTTATATTTTATAGGCTACACATGCTTATACACTTGTGTAGAAATAAATGTTAAAAGTTAATTTATCATTCCATAGGAAAGAGAAGATAAAAATTTTATACTTTACACAGTAATTATCATCTATACAAGACAAGGGATTTCTTTTGAGTTAAGATGTACATAGTTCAAAAAAGAAGCCATTATAAAACTGAGTAATTGGCAGAGTTAGATAGTTAATCAGTTACATTCCACTCATCATTTATTCTCACATGAGTAGATGGGTATTTTTACAGTCATGATTAAACTGAAAAACCTTGAATTAATGGAAGATAATAAATCAGTAACAATATTTGGATAGTTGTAAAAATATACAACAGTAATTTTTTATCAGTTGATTATTTTTGTGATTTTAATATATTTTTTTTATGTGACACTAATCAATTGAGTTCATCACCCAGCTCTAGCCATCATATATTTCTTATTCATAAAATACCAAAGGTTTAAAAGCATTTTACTTGGTTTAGCAGTTTCTATAGAATGAACAAGTCATTATTAGTATTATTTTATGGCTTCCTATGAAAACAAGATTGTTGAGAATTCTAAGCAACTCAAAAAATGTTGAAAACAAAATGTAACACAGGTATTTAATGTTTCTCTTTTAGCTATAAATTTCACTATTAAATACTTTGTTTTTCTCTTGTTTGATCAAGTGCCAACTGACGTTTTATTTCAAACAAAAGAATGGCAGCAGCCACTGAAGAATTTAAGCTGTCAACTCCATTTTCAATGGGGATCACTAACTTCCGTCCACCTCTCTCACATGCAAGTTTGAAGGCTTTTAGACTTAGGCCTTCAGTCTCTCCTCCAATGATTAGCACAGTTTCACAGTTAGAAAACAATGTATCACTATAAGATTGGATAGGCAATGACACATTTCTGTAAGCTTCCAGAACTTCTTGACATTTATAGGAAGGATCCACTTTAAGTTGCTTGCCTTCATCATTTACTACAACAAATTTTTCAATGTTTTCATTTTCCAGTTCCTGTGGCTTATTCTTTTCTGCCTGTGGTATAATTTTATGTTCATTACAGTTGTCTGCAAGATATATAATGGCATCCTCTGAAAAATAATTCTGTAAAACTTCCCAGTAGATGTTGTTCAAAATTGGTACTCTGAAATGAGCTCCACATGCTGATCGTAAAACCTTTGGCTCCCATAAGTCAACACATCCTGTAAGAACAAAAACATATGCCACATGGAATGGTATTCGTAGAGGCGGTTTACAATATTAAATAATTTCACACTTTGCTTAAGCTCTCTTTTACTAGCTTTCATTCAAATTTTCTTACTATAAGAAAGACAAAAAAAAACAAAATAAGCAATCAATCTTATGTGGTGTTAAACACCCAAGATGATGAAATTGGATAGTTCTTTTAGATCTAAAAAATATGCTGGAACCCAAAAGTTTTTTCCTGCAATTTACATGGACCAATAAGGATGTTGAGCCAGACTTTTGTAGAAATAGCATTTCTTGTGTTTGCCCTTTGTTGCTGCTCAAAAAATCTTTTGTTCAACACCAGAATTCATGAACTAAGTTTGATCTGTCATAGCAATAACTGCATGAGGTACTTTTTTTTTTATGTACAACTATAAAAAAAAAAATTATGACTTAAAGTGCTTAAACTGGCACGTATAAAAGTGCTCTAGGCCTTACAAACCCCAGTAGATGTAATAAGAAAATCGTGAGGAAAAAATGCATCTGCGGGCTCACTTGAAAGTTCATATTTTTAAAACTATTAACTCTATACTATTAAAACTGGTTCAATAAGTAGAAAGCACATTTGTAAAAAATCTATTGTGATAATACTACATTTACAATGTAATACTAGTTCCTTAGAAAGGTAACGATAAAAAACCTTAGTGATATTAACCTGCACGAAGAAGTGATTAACTGATTTTTCATCTTCATGTACACTAGGGATTAAAGTGTGTGTATTTCAGAACAGTAAATAGAAATACGTAAATAACTAACAAAGGTATTCACCAATCCCAGGCTTAAAAAATAATTGTATATATATGGGGTATGCACCAACCCATTCCATTATTTTGAACCATGTCGTACAAACTGTTCATTCCATGGAAGGGTATCCATGTTATGGGTTGCAATAATTCAGTTTCACTATTTACCTCTTTACTCATTTAAGTCCTCATTCATGGAATTAAGATGGTAACATTGAAATGGCTGCCAAACTCTAACCCTTCGTCCAAATGCTTACCAAGCTCAGTCTTTGTGGAGTCCTCTATCATATTTTATTGAAATTTGTTTAGTCAGTTCTTCACAACTTGACACACGAGACAAACAGATGTACAACTCTGTCATATGATGGTAAAGGCTGATTAATTTTTTCATGAAAATTAAATATAAATAAATGCTTTATGAACATGTTTTCTATAAATTAATTATATCATAGTAACAGTGTACGTATAAAAACCGTTTATCCTTTTTCTATTATTTCACAACAACAACATTTTTTGTGTATATCTGGTTATAACCCTTAAAGTGGTTCTTGATTGGAATTTTTATTTGTGTATATTTTTATGTTATGTTCAAATCTGTTTCTTGATAAAGACTCGCAGATTGAACCATGGAAAAAAATATCCGAACGTGGTCAAAAGTACGATCTTATGATTTATAAATTGTAATGATAAATACAATAATATATAACTTTTCATAAATAATGCTTATAAAATCTTAACTAAGTTGGAAAACATCAATAATAATGTATTGAGCACCATCTGTTGCTTGAAAAGATTTTCAAGTTGTTTTTGACACATGCAGTCATAAAATTTCCACTTGGCTGGAATTTGAACTGGAGACTTCTACATGTGACACCCAGTCTTCGTAGTTAAATGTTAACAATTTTAACCAACAGATAGTCAAGCAGTATCCACAAAGGAGCATTCCAAACAAAAAATTGGTTTTACTATATAGATAACCATATAGACATATTATACCCAGCTCTTAAAATGAAATAAACTTTGATCTATAATGTGTTCTCACCTTTAGTCAGAATAACTCTGTGGCATCCTGCAGCAGCTGCACATCTTAATAGTGCACCCATGTTTCCTGGTTCCCTGACATTATCACAAATGACAGTTACAGGTAGAACACACTCACTAAGAAGTGACAGCTGACTCAGATCTGGTGTTTTAAAGACACCTATATTAAATAGATTTTGAAAGTTTGATTTGTATTAGAAGAAAGAATATTACTGCTATTGTAAGTACTATCATCAAAGTTATAATAAGTAAAACAAGCAAACTTTAACCACAAAATGGCAGATGCCACAGATTTGGTATTAGAGAAAATAATATTATTACTTATTATAAGTACTATCATCATAGATATGATACGTAAAACAAGTACATTCTGACCAAGAAATAACGGAGGCCTTGGATCAGGTGTTAGGAACTGTAAGTGATATTAAATTTGTCAGACTGAACAGCAAATAAGGCTTTTAGTTGGAAAATTGAGATTATAACAACTGCAAACACTAACACACAAAATGAAGTTGACACAAAATATGACACCTGCAACAAACAAAGATGCGATACCTACCACACAGAAAAGTATGGTTATTTATGAATTCTCGTGCCACTGTGAATGTCGGTACGTAGGTCACACTTCACAAAGATTGCAGGATAGAATTAAACAACACGTACCCACATCCATAAGAAATAAGAGTGTGAAATAAAAGAATTTACCATGTCGCCCCTGTAAAACAAAAGTTCTACCGCCAAATTGTGAATCAGCGATTGGCCAGCATTTACTAGCGAACCCGACTTGTGCTGACAACTACACGGATAGCAGGTTTAAAATTATTGCAAATGGTCTGTCAACCTTTCATCTCTATACTTCCAAACTTTTGACAATCTTAAAAATCTTTGTCACATTCCCCTGAGCACAACAAATCCTTCCTATTACATTTCTATATCTAATTTCACAACTAACTTGATATCAAAACACATTTTCCAAACTTCTTGTTACTCACCAAGCTTATTTCTGAATTCAACATTTTCCTCAGTATCTGATATCTTTACTAACTGATAACACAAAGACTCCTAAGCACACTAGTAACCTTCTTTCTGATATTAAGCTGTTCTTAAATGATAAATTGGTTTTAACAGCAGAAAATAGGGAACACAACATAATGTGTTGTCATTAAATGAAGAAAATTTACGAAATTTAATATTTGATTTTAATGTTTGTCCAGCTATAATGATATAGTAATTGCATACTTGTAAATATTGCAATGTCACACCCAGTGAACTATCCAATTTTCTACTAAATCCTATTCCTACAGAGGTATTTATGGCTAGCCAAAAATTTAATTAATATTTTGAGTTTCTTTTTCTTCATTATGCTGTCTCTGTTATTATAAATAATCTATCATAAAAGAATGACTTCATACCAGAAAGTTACTAGTGCATTTACAAGTCTGTGTGTTATCAATTAGAAATCTTATACTGAGGAAAATGTTGAATTCAGAAATAAGCTTAGAGAGTAGCAAGAAGTGTGAAAATGTGTTTTAATATTAATTAAGTCATAAACCTAGATACAGAAATGTATCAGAAGGATTTATTGTGATCATGGGAACATGACAAGTGTTTTTAAAACTTTCAGAGGTTTGGAATCCCTAGGTCCACACGATATTTTCAAAACATTTGCAGACATTTTTTTTCGTGTTTGGTGTGGCTCTTATTCCAAAATTCAACATACAGACTTATCTACATTGTTCAATTCCTAAATTCAAACATATGTAATAATAATAATCCAAAGTTATTGCATTAATCTCCCTTTAGTTGTGTGTTTTTCTTTTCCAAATACTGTTTCTACAGTCTTCTTAGTTTCACTATAAGGTTTATATACAATTCACAACATGCAGCTTGCCCATTACTCCTGGAGAGATTATAGTAAAGCCAGGCCACAAACTGGAGTGTTAATAAAGTATCAATACATATAGCATATCTGTTATTCCTGGAAAGGTTGTTGTAAGGTCAGGTCACAAACTGGACTGTTAATTATGTATCACAACATATAGCTTATTTGTTATTCTTGGAAAGGTTGTTGTAAGATTAGGCCATAAACTGGACTATTAATAAAGTACCATAACATATAGCTTATCTGTTATTCTTAGAAAAGTCATTGTAGGTCAGACCATAAACTGAGCTGTTTATAAAATAACACAATACATAGCTTACCCATTACTCCTGGAGAGGTTGTAAGGTCAGACCATAAACTCAGCTGTTTATAAGATACTTTAAAGAGTTGCACATTGACAACTTCATTAAGGGGAATTTCACGAAGATTCTGTTCTTGACTGAAGAAGATTGATTCTGGGTGAATATCAGCTGAAATAGCATCACTAATGAGTCTCCTACCTTCTAAGAGAATTCTTTCCTTCTTTTCCCTCTTTTTACGTGATTTTAAAAGAGTCATTACTGTCCTGCAACATACATTAGAATGATAAAACTGGATAAATTTATAATATTAATAAATAAATAAAAAACATACTAATAAACACTTATCTTTATGTTGTTAGTAATTAAAAAACGATCATTCCAACTCTATTTCGTGACCTCATAGTCAGAATAAATTCAAGATTACGTCAGGCTGTAAAAATATATCAGTAATATAGTTATCACAATCATGACAATGTACTTGTATAGCCGCCACTCTACTGCTAAAAAACATTTACTGTTTTTGAACAACTATACTTTGGAGTCAATACCGTTGGGTAATATAGCTCAATACTGAGAATAGTCAGAACAAAAACACAAACATGTACAAGTTACCAGTAAAATAGACTAATAGCCAATAAAAAAGTACTAGAACTACTAAAAATAATATATTTCAATTATTTGATAAAATCTTACGTAAAACGAGGGTCATTATTTTGAAGTTTCTCATACTGAGGCACATCTGCAAGTTCGGCTTTCTTTACATGACGTTTAGAGTTCATTTCTTCTGATAATATATTCCGAGAATAATTAAAGCCAGACCTATCAACATTATTCTTAAGGTTAACATTAATGCCGTTATTAATATTCTTTCTCTGTTTAGGTGGTAAAAAAAGGGAAGATGTTGCATTCACACTTCCCGCAACAGGGCTTTCATCTTGATTTTCTCGTGAACTAACCCGAATAGGTTTTCTTCGAAGACCTTTTCTATAAAACCTGATAAATATCTTAGCTTCTAGTGGTATTCCACGGTTTGGAATAAAGAACTGACATCCATAACATAACATGTTTGTACCAATGTTCCGAACGTACAGAGACATATTTGTCTTATAGATTATAGTGACATCTACCTATCGATTTACTAATATAATATTAAATCAACAAAGAAGTGTTTTTATACAGAACGTTATTTCTCCTAAATATTTTAATGCAAGATATTATTATTATTATTTCATGAAATTTTTGCGAAAGAGAGTAAATGATAAATGAAGTCCAAAGAAATTAAAATTTCTCGAGATTTTTTACAATACGTAGAAGTACAAGAGGAGTGGAGGTAATGAGTGATTACAACATACCATACCAGGTTCAGTTTACTACTATGAGAAAGAAATTCATTTACTCTATATCGGTTTTCATTTCAAACACTGCTCTTTTGTGTGTTTGATAAATTGTTTTATATAATCTTTTGATGTGAGAGTGTAATTAAACTCTTTCTAGTACGAAAATAGTATGAAAGAAATAACAGTTTCAATTAACATGAACGAAAAATTAGACATTGATGTAATATGTAGAAGTGCAATAGAAAACAATGGAATACAGTTTACGATAAAAAAACAACATCAACATGATTTGTAGTTGTAAATTTGATGAACAGGTACAGGTTTCTCAATTCAGCAAATTCGATGTTCATCCATATTTGTGCCAGTAAAATGATGCACATTTTATGAAATTCTTATACTTTTTAGTTTCTTTCAAAGATTATGTTAAGCTAGTGCTTTAAGTTAGGATATTGCTTTCTACAAAGGCTACAAAAACTATAAAACAATTAATATTAAAAAGAAACGTTTAAAAAATTGGCGGTTATTTTTGCGACATTTTAATCCTTTCATAATATGGACCTTTTGTTGTAATATGGATCTGGTTTTAGTTGTACTGAATAACAAAAGTTGACAATATTGACACAAAAAATTGAAATAGCTTTTCTTTGAAGATTATAAATAAAACATTTACTAATACGAAAGTTCAAATGTGAAATAAAACGTTTAGCGAAATAGATGAAACACAATATGGTATAATTTAATTGGCGAATAGTTTTTTTATTTGAGATATTGATGCACAGAAAGGGATTAGAATATTTATTTGTTGTTTAACTATCTTCAACAATAAAAATTACGAATAAATTTTGCATTTTAAGATGTTAGTACGATATGTTACGACAGCGGAAGTCGCATGACGGTGGTAGCATGCGCCCTGGAGTTTCTCGAATTATCGAGAAACCCCGCGAATGTCCGAGTGTTTGCTAGACGTCCTCTTTTTTAGTATATAAGCCTGGCGAGAAAAACCAGCGGGATAGAAGAGATAGATAATTGAGTCAAGCGAGCAGTAGGCCCCATAAGTAAAGTGTGTGATACACTGTGATTTATAACGTGTGTTATAAAAGTAGTTAAGTTTAAGGTACTGATTGGAAATTCTATGTATTACAAAGGTGTATCGAGGAAAAAATAAACTTGTTTAATTAAGAAACGACTTGTATCGCTGAAGTTCCTCGGAAAGAATTTATACCGGAAATTAACAAACAAGCAGATAGGTAACAAATTGATGTCAGAAAGTGGGACGGAAAATAAAGAAAAATAAAACAATAAAAGAAAAGAAGTGGCAAATCAAACTATGACTTGGCAGATTTGACGGCAGCAATACAAGAACAGCAAAAGAAACGAGAAGAGAGATTACAGCAGTTGTTGGAGGAAACAGAAAAGAAACAAGAAGAGAGAGATTACAGCGGTTGTTGGAGGAAAAAGAAAAGAAACAAGAAGAGAGAGTTTACAGCAGTTATTGGGGGAAAAAGAAAAGAAACAAGAAGAACGAGAAAATGAACAAGAAGAGATACTATAGCAGTGGTTGGAGGAGAAAGAAAATAAACAAGAAGAGAGACTACAGCAGTGATTGGAGGAGAAAGACAATGAACAAGAAGAGAGACCACAGTAGTGGTTGGAGGAGAAAGAAAATAAACAAAAAGAAAATATCCAACAGTTGAGAGACGGCCAACATACACAAATGGAAAAGATTAGAAATTTCAAAGTGAATTAAATACATTAAAGGACGGTTTACTATCTTTTACACAGGTTATATTAACCATGGACTTAATCAGCCCCAGACAACCGGAAGCCCCTTCCAGACACTGCAGCTAAACCCTAATGCAGGCATCTTTAGTCTTGACAGAAGTCGCATTCCAGACATGAGTGTCAGCAATAGGGGTGATCTAGTACGAAGGAAGCCACAGGAATTTGATGGGAAGGCACCATGGGAAACATATAGAGCTCAATTGAGCTCCTGGCAGAAATATATGGATGAACAGAGG